GGCAGGAGCTGCTGCCACCCTGGTGGGCTCAGCTGGAGGCGGGCGCCCTGTCTTGGCGGGAGGGAAGAGGGGGCAGCATGCCTGCTTGCCCCTGGGCTCCCTGTCCAGGAGTCTGTGAATCCAGGGGTCTGTGTGCAGCTCCAGGTGTGGGTCTGTGAATGGGACTGTCCTTGTGTCCATCCACGGGTCTGTCCGTGCGTCTGTGTGTCCATCTGCGGTCTGTCTGTGCGTCGGTCTGTGGGTCCATCCATGGGTCTGGCCATGGGTCTGTCTGTGGGTCTGGCCATGGGTCAGTCCGTCGTTCCAGCCCCTCACTTCCAGCAGAGCACGTTCCAGAGCAGCAGCCAGCAGGGGTGGGCGCCAAGGGCGAGGAAGGGGAAGAGGAAGGAGCAGCGCCGTCCCCGCCGGCGTGGCCACCACCAGAAGCGCCGCCAGCAGCACCCTGGGGAGGGGGCACAGTCAGGAAGTGTAGGGGGTGTCACATGCAGGGGAGAGCCCCCAGTGTCCCCCTGACATCCCCCAAACCTGGGGAGACCCCTGCAACCCTCCGCCCCAAGGAGGGCCATCATCTTCTCCTCCTGACATCTCCCCACCCCCCATCACAGCCCCAGAGGGAGCCTCCAGTGCCCCCCTGACATCCTCCCAGCCTGGGGAGATCCTGGTGTCCCCCCCAACCCCACGAAGAGCCACCCTGGCATTCCCAATGCCCTCCACCCCACCATCATCCCAGTGAAAGCCCCCAGCATCCCCCTAGTGTCCCCCTACCCTAGGGACACCCCCTTCAGTGTCCCCCTCAGCACCCCCAAGCCCAGGGAGAGCCCCAGTATTCCTGTGGTGTCTCCTTACTCTGGGGAAAGCCCCTGGCACTCCCACCTCAGGGAGAGCCCCTGGCTTCCCCCCAGCATCACCTCATCCTGGGTAAGAGGCTCCTCAGTGTCTCCCACCATCACCCCAGGGGGAGTTCCCAGTGTCCCTCTGCCTCAGCGAGAGCCCCTGATGTCCCCCTGCTGTGGAGGGCTCTGGACTCACTTGGGGCCGTTGGGGGTGACGGCAGCAGCAGCTGGCACCATGGTGGCAGCAGGGAGGGAGCCAAGGGAGAAGTTGAGAAGGGCGAGACAGCCCAACAGCAGCGCCAGGTAGAGCAGGGCCAGCAGCTTCAGTGTCATCCAGCCCCGGTCGTTGCTTCCACCTGTCAGCGCCCTGCAGGACAGGGGGGATGCTCAGCACCCTAGTGTGGGGGGATGGCATCCCAGGGACCTCCCCAGACCCTCTCCGGCACCTGTGGGTGTTGTGGGGCAGGGCCATGCCAGCCAAGTAGATGGCGATGACGGTGAGGACCACGGCTTCCGACTCGGACACGGGGAAGTGCTGGGTGGCCACGTGCTGGCCCAGCACCG